GTACGAGTACAAACCCTCCCCCCAGCGTCAGTACAGCCACTGATACGGGTACGGTGACTACCCAGCCCGCAGAAGCCGCTGCAGAGCCAGCTGTCGTCAGTGTGGAGACAGGTGCAGCTAGCAACGCAGGGCTGAACACTGCCTCAGTCAACAGCTATCGCCAGGCACTTTTAGCCAATGGGACCAGCACTGGCACAACTGATACCAGTAACCATGTGCCGGCTTTCAGTCAACCTGGAGGCAAAGAAAAGAGCAGCGGGACAACCCCCTCTCCTGATGAAGAAGGCTTCAGATGTGCAGCAGGCAAACACACCTTCTCCGCCACTGTCTTATCCGGGCGCACTGAACCACCTGCCTCTGCCTTGAACGACCCGCAAATTGCGTGGGCTAAGGAGTATTCAAACCGTGAGCGCAAGAAGCTGGCAGAGAGAGTTGAAGCTGCCCGCAGAGGAAGCCACTGAGTAAGTACTCGTTGAAAACTGTCCACATTCTATGAACCCAGCCCATCTATTGCTCTATTTGTATATACCGTTTTCTTCTGTAAATTATCTCCTCCTGAACACTCATGCCGCTGAACCCTCTTGCCAAACCCTTCTCCCCTAGGAATCCTGCCACTCCGCATGCACAGTCACCCTCAGTACACCCTCCACCTACCCAGACCGCAGCGCCTCTCAAGATCGGCGCCATAAACATATGTAGCCTACGGTACAAGCGTGCAGAAGTAGCTGCCCTCATCCGCGACCGCAGCTACGATGTCTTGGGTATCTCGGAGACGTGGCTGAGTCCCGAAATTGCAGACGGAGAACTTAGTATCCATGGTTACAATTTACACCGTAATGACAGGCACGGCCGGATGGGTGGTGGGGTCTGCTTTTATTACCACCAAGACCTTCCTATTCGAGCCCGTTCTGACCTTCATTCCGACAAGATCGAGTCTGCTTGGTTGGAAATAAAAGGTCCACTTGGCTGCCACTTGATTGGTTGTATCTACCGTCCCCCCGGGGAATCAGTATCTTACTGGACAGACCTAGAAGCGGTGATCCTGCGTGCCAAGCTGCAATCGGCCTCCATTACAATGGTTGGTGACTTCAACGTCAACATGGACCCAAAACAGCCTGGTCCCCAGCATCACTATCTCAGTGACCTCTGTGCCGCCTATGGCCTCAAGAACATCGTTAGAGAACCCACTCGTGAAACTCCCCGCTGTCCGAATGGTACTATAATTGATCTCATTCTGGCTGACCCTACCCATGCAACTGTAGCTACTGTCGTACCTCTTGATATCAGTGATCACAGTGCCGTGGAGTGCAATATCCAGGTCGATGTTCCCCGGACTACACGGCAGGCCCCAAGGCACATGCGAAGAATCCATAAGATAGACAGTACCGCGTTCCGTCATGATATCTGTGAGGCCAACCTGCATGAGTTTTCTGACTTCAATGATGTAAATATCATGTGGAGAGAATGGCATGCCAAGTTTATGCACGTTATGGATAACTCAAAAACTATGTAACTCAAAACCTCCCAGACAGTCCACACCACGGTGGGTAGACGCAGAACTACACAGGCTAATGCAGCGAAAACGTCGCATTCATAAACGTTGGAGACAGGACAAAACGAATGGAAATCTTCACACTGAGTTCAAACGAGCACGTAGCATTGCTCGGAACGCTTCTCGGCAAAAGAAAAATGCGTACTTCGCCACCCAGTGCAAAGAGAATGCTGGTAACCCAAGAAAGTCCTGGGAAATTCTCAATGCCGTGACAGGGCGCTCACGGTGCCGTCAAGATCCGTGCTGCGACGTCCATGAGATCAGCAACACGTTCCACTCTATTGTTACAGACACAAACCGACCCGACCATCTCGGCGTTCCGTGTGGCCCCAACGGGCCTGTCTCCCTAACCGAGTTCTCCCCTGTAACTCCATCGGACGTTCAACGTCTCCTTCAGCAGGTAGATGCTCGCAAAGCTACGGGAAGTGACGGCATACCGGGTTCGCTATTGCGGCAGTGTTCCGATTTATTGGCATACTCTTTAGCAGTACTGTTTTGCACTTCCCTCCGTACTGGCACGGTTCCTTTGGCGTTCAAGCTGGCGACCGTTGTACCGCTTTACAAGACCGGGGACCCATCAGTCCCCACCAATTATCGCCCTGTTTCCCTCCTTCCAGTTGTCTCAAAGCTGTTGGAGAGAGTGGTGCAGCGTCAGCTAGTTCGCCATCTAGACTTGAGTAATGCCCTACCTGATTCTCAGTTTGCTTTCAGGAAGAAGTGCTCCACTGAGGATGCCCTCTGTGTTCTCACGGACAGCTTGCAGAAGGCGAAGGACAGTGGTCTGGTAACTGGGCTGTGCCTCCTCGACATGTCCAAGGCTTTTGACAAAGTCCGGCATGGTATCCTCATCCAAGACCTTTTTGACGTTGGTATCTCTGGTGTCGCCCTGAAGTGGTTCGCGAATTACCTGACAGATCGCAGGCAGCAAGTTACAGTCGCTTCGGCCACAAGTCGTGCTCTTGACTGCACCTGTGGTGTGCCCCAAGGCTCCGTCTTGGGGCCTGTTCTCTTTAACGTCTACACCCGTGATGTGAAATCGGTCTCATCGCCAATACCCAGCGTGCAATTCGCAGACGACATTGCTCTGTATGATTCAAAAGCTTCCGCTGGGGAAGTCTCCAAATCCGTCTCTTCAGCTGTCACTGATCTCGCCATATGGCTTAAGTCACGCGGCCTAATTTTAAACGCCTCCAAAAGCCAGGTAATGACTATCTCACCGCAACATGCCGGGCCTGAGGTCTCTATCGTGTGCTGCGATACCTCTCTACCGATAGTGAAGTCTGCGCGGTATCTTGGTGTCTTTCTTGACAACCGCCTGAGTTGGGATGTACACGTCAGCGCCATAGTGACCAAAGTTGCGAGGAAGATAGGCGCCTTGTGGCGAGCCCGTCGATGCCTCTCCCGCAGCTCGCGCAAGGTATATGTAAAGGCTATTGTCATGCCGGATATGATATATGGTGCCTGCAGCTTCTCTGCAGCCCTCCGCGTGACCCAACTTCAGCGTCTGCAAGCCATGCAAAACCGGGCGATCCGATGCATTGATGGCAGCCCGCCATGTTCCGCGATGCAGCCCCTCCTGGCTGCCAACTCGATTTACCGCGTCACTGAACTTTTCAAACAAAAGCTCCTGATCTTCATCTGGCGTTGTCTAAATGACTCCACTAGCCTTGCTCTAGCCCAGCTTCTCAAACCAGCAGCATGCAGCGGCAGAAGTACGCGCCATCAGCATGCCAATGGTCTGCTCAGCCAGCCAGCTCGCAGTCGGTGTGGCCAAACGAGATTCGCCACCGCAGGAGCATTGCTGTGGAACAGTTTGCCTAGAGAGGTGCGCACCGTATCCAGATTGCAAGATTTTAAGCTAGCCTGCCTTCCTTATGTATGCCTGAAATAGGTTGTGTTTCGTCAGGTTTTGACATGTTCCTTTCTTCTCAGTATTCTCGCTCGCATAGTACTCCACTTTTATGATAATATTGCCTATGCTGTTGCTCATTAGGATTTTGGCAAATTCTATCCTTCGCTTTCATATAACTGGGCCAGGAACCCGTTTGAACTTGCGAAGTAAAATAAAATCAATCAATCAATCAAAAGGAACTAGTGCAGCGACAAAACAGAAATGGAGAAGAAGTGAACAGCAAGGAGAGCGAATCGCTAAAATGCACTAGCCTAGTGTCTGTACAGTCAACATGGTCAAGTAGTTAGTGAACACGCAGTCACGTGGTCACGTACACATACGTCACACCAAATACGTCATCATGGTCATGCATAACAAAAAGAAAGGAAAGTCACGCGTGAGCAAAACAAATCCAGAGCGCGAAAATACTCACGGGACGAAAACATAACGAAGGATTTGTTTGTGAACAAAATGCAAAGAATAGAGAAACGAAGGATTGCTTCGAAGCTACTTCGAAGTACAGTCAACTTCGCCAATAACGACATTCGGCGGGGCATCAGAAAAGTGTCCTTATTCGCGAAGTGTCCTTATAACCGAAGTCCCATTTGAATGTATGTGAACCCATATTTTGTATAGTATGATATGCATATCAAAATCAAGCTCTTTTCTTGCTCTATGTCAATGTGTACTTTATTTTCATAATGCAGTTGAAAGGAACTAAAAATTCAATATGCAAGGGAAATCAATTGAAAAATATGCCTTTTGAGCCATCTACAGGGCCAGAGACATGTACATGTATGATGATTACTGTACAATCATGTACAACTACATGTACATTGTATACATACATGTATAGGTGTGCTGGTAAATCCAACAATTTTGAAGCCAACGTAAAAAAGGAAGAAAAAGCCCCCCCCCCCTTGGCTGCATTTTCTTGCATGTGTGCAATAATTATCCATCACCGGTGCACCATAGGTTCTGGTACTTCTGCATGACAGGTATATGTACTTGACTGAAAGGTACTTGAAATAGCTGTCAAAAGCCCAGAAAGTCGTTATTCAAGCAGTGAATATGACCACGGGCACTAAAAGCATGTCGCTATACGCGAATTGTCGTTATTCAGATAGTCGTTATATCCGAAGCTAAATGTATATAGTTAGATGGGACTTTGCTCTGGGCATGGAAATTCGGTCGTTATTCGCGAATTGTCGTTATATCCGCAGTCGTTATTAGCGAAGTTGACTGTAGAATGAAATCAATCACTAGAAAGGACGATGGGGAACTAGACTTCGGCTAACCCAAGCGTGGAATCAGCCACAACGTAAGCAAGCAAGAGAGTACAAAATCATCGTCATGTAATGCAAATATAAATTGGTTATTCCGAATTCATGTACATGTATTTCATCGCGACGTTCGCGACACTCCCCACAACAGAGAAGAAGAGCGATTGCAATTGCAGTAGTGTAGACAAAGTGTAAATGAGTGTGTGGTGATTGCTTAGTGTTCAACAAGAGAGTGTACTGTGTATAAATACATTCATGCAGACTATTTACAGAGTTATACTGCACCTTGACTTATTAGGTTCTTCAGGTTGGCACGGGAACCAGCGGCTGCACGGCGTGTTGGTCGAGCTGGTTGTTGCTGTGTAGGTTGTGCAGGCTGTACAGGCTGTGCAGGTTGTGCGAGCGGCGGGTCATCGTGCGCTGCATCGTGATTCTCCGCTTGCACAATTGGGTACAACAGACTTAGTGGACGTTGGATCTGCCGCTTGGATGGCAAAACAACTGTTGCAGATCTGATTTCACCATCATTACTGTTGTGCAGTTTGTCAATTCGTCCAATTAACCAAGAGCCGCGTGGCATCTTTTCTTCCTTGACTAGGACAACAGTATCCACAGCAGGTGGATCATGTGCTTGTAGTCTTCCATGCGGAAGTGCAGTCTGACCACGTTCACGTAGCGTGGGTAGATACGAATACTGCCATTCTGACCAAAAAGTCTGTAGTAGGCGTTGACCATCCGTCCAGGCAGTTAGCAATGTGTTAGCCAAAGACGTGTCAGGCTCAAACGTTGGGTCATTACCAAAGTCTCCCTCCATACCAGGAGTGCCCAACTTCGGGTTTAGAGACAAGAAATGGTTGGGAGTAAGAACATTACCAAAATCCAATTCGTTTCCAACGTAGACCAGTGGACGTGCATTAATTATCGCCTCCGCCTCCATTAGAAATGTATTGAGCATATCACGGTTTGGAATTGAAGTGCCCACTGTCTTTCGTAGGACCCTTTTCACTGATTGTACTAAGCGCTCGTATGCGACGCCCATCCATGGAGACAGCTGTACTATGAATTTCCATTGTATTCCATTCGTAGCACAGAACGAAGTAAAGTCATCGGTGTGGTTCACGTCATTCCAAACTTCACCAATGACGTTCGAGGCAGTGTGAAATTGTTTTGCATTATCTGACAAAACTTCAATCGGCGTACCTCTACGGGCAATAAATCTACGAAAGCCCAGTAGAAATGAGGCTGTTGTCATGTCTTCCATTAGCTCGAGGTGGATTGCGCGGGTAGTCAAACATGTGAACAGGCAAACCCATACCTTGCATTTCTCGCTTTCCTTGGTCATTGTCATTGGGCCGAAGTAATCGATACCAGTGTACGAGAATGGTATGCACCTGTTAACACGCTTGCTCGGCAGTGGAGCAAAATCCGGCATTGGGTATGGCTTCGCTTCCCATTTCTTGCAGTGGTAGCAGCTGTGCAATATTGTCTGCACGGTGGCCCGCCCACGAGTTATCCAGAAACGCTTACGCACCTCCATGAGCGTCTGGCTAGTACCGGAGTGCCGAACGCGAGCGTGGCACAGTTGCACGATTAGCCTCGTGGCAGGATGTTTCCGTGGCAGCAGTATTGGACCAGATTCTGGAAACCTAGCATTCTTCATGCGCCCTGCGCACCGAATTAGGCCGTTGGTATCGATAAGTAGACCGAGTTTGGTAACGAGTTCCATTTTTTGTTTTTTCTGAATTGCATTTTTAATTTCACCAAATTCTTGACCTTGGATAACTCGTACACATTCCATTTCAGCTTCCTTGATATTGGTTGTGGTTAGTTGTGTTTGTTGTTTGCATTTGCCTTGCAGCTTCTGTACTGCCAGTTTCACGTAAGCCATTACGCGTACCGCTTTCGACCAAGAGGAATACCTTTCGATAGAGATGAAAGGACCCTCCCCAGGGCAAGAGTTGATTGCGACAGATACCTCAGTGGGTGGTTCTGAGACCATTGCTGCAGCTGTGGCAAGTGAAGGGGATGGTAGTTCACCGAGTGAGCTGGTATCACCGCGTAGCCATTCAGGACCTTCCCACCAGAGTTTGCTGTCGTGCAATGCAGCAGCTGTCGCGCCACGCGAGGGTAGGTCAGCAGGATTGCAATCCGTACTGACGAACTTGAATGCAATTGTCGGATTCGACTGGATTTCCATTAGTCGCCGCTGGACAAACACAGATTGCTGGTTCGTGCCATTGATCCAGTGTAGAACACAAGTTGAATCGGACCACAGAACAGTGCGGTGGAGATCAAATGGCAGTGTGTTCTGGAGAAATTTGATAAGCCGAGAACCGATTAGCGCTGCCATCAACTCCAAACGAGGAATTGTCATTTGTTTGAGTGGAGCTACCTTCGTCTTGCTGACGAGCAGGACTGTGGCCACAGCTGTGGCGCTTTCCTCACGGAGATAGGCAACCGTACCGTACGATTTTTCGGATGCGTCGCAGAACACATAAAGTTCGCGGCGAGTGACAGATGCTGGGTCAAGACCAGTGAAGCGGTGTAGCTTGAACGTGTCGGCTTTGTCCAGGTCTTGGGCAATAGCCTGCCAATCATCTGCAATGCTGTTGGGAACCGGATCATCCCAGTCGAGCTTTGCTTTCCAGATGTCCTGGATCAGAAGTTTGGCTCGAACAAACAGAGGTGACAGGTAGCCAACGGGATCGTAAAAGCGAGCAGCAGCGGAGATGATGCTGCGCTTGGTGTTGGCGTGTTTGTGAGCCACATTAGGAGAAATGACATTGAGAGTGTCCTCTTTCGTATCCCAAGCCAGGCCGAGGCATTTCACATTGTTGGATGTGGCTTTGTCGAAGTCTGGCAGGGTGTGGTTAAATTCATCACTGTTTGATGACCATTCACGGAGATTCATAGCGGCGTCGTTGAATAGGCTCTTTGCAGAATCATAGAGAGTACTGGCTTCGTCAGCCGTGTTGCGCCCAGTTATCACATTGTCCACATAAGTGGAGTCGCGGATTTCAGAACCGAGCGTGCTGTTGCTGTTGTCGAGATGGTGATGAATGGTGGCAGACAGCAAGAACGGGCTGGAAATAACACCAAACGGGATTCGACATATGTCACCAGGTTTGCTGATGAGACTGGTAGAGAAATGTCCTTGAGCCACAGAAAGCGGGTGTAGTCCCGGTCTGGTTCGTCGAGGCCCACTTGGAGGAATGCCTTCTCAATATCGCTGGTGATCCCAACAGGGAACAGGCAAAAACGGACCAGTATGCCACCCAGGTCGGGAAGCAAGCTGGGGCCGCTGTGAAGGCAGTCATTGAGGCTGTTTCCATCCTTGTTGGTTTTTGCTGACGCATCGTATACGATGCGGAGTTTGGTGGTTGTGCTGGCCTGACGCTGGACGCAGTGGTGTGGCAAATAGTGGACCGGCCCAGTGGGCACGGCATTCGGAACTTCCTCGATGATACCACTTGCGTGTTGGTCTCTGATTGTCTGGTCGTAGTGTCGTAGGATGTCTGGTTGTGTAGAAAGCCGCTTGATTAGGGAGACGAGTCGACCTCTGGCCAGCTCATAGTTCACTTGCGGAGCTTTTTCCTTCCACGGCCAGTTGACTGTGTAGCGACCGTTTTCTTTGCGTATTGTGGCGTTGAAGTGTTCTCTCACCATGTCGTTGTCTGTTGTTTCTGGGTCGTCATTAATGCCCAGACTCTCAAGGCTCCACAGATCTTCGAGTGCAGGTAAGGTGTCATCCGCTATGGAATCCGCCGACAGATGCATGACGGTGTCTGGGGGCGTATCACCAGACACTTTGCCAGACGGAATAAACCCTAACTTGGACTCGACCAGCACTAGGTCAGCGGTAACGGATATGACCTGAGGGCCAATGAGGTGATGGTAATGATCACTTCCAATTAGTACGTCGACAACCACGCTCTCTGTTGCAAGGGGTGTGGGTTCAGCAAGATTTACAGACTGCAGAACCGGATATTTGGTGTAATCGAGTGGAAAGCGTTGGATGGGACATGTGATGTTGTCGACTACGTTGGCTATGACCGTAACGGTGGAGCCATCATCACACCCGACAGAGAGTTGCACACGTGGCAGACAGACAACCTTGCGGGCACTGTCGCCAAAGCCAGCCATGGCGATGGTGTCTGAACCATTGGCAGCAAGTTGAAGTGCGTGTTGTGCTTCGTGTGTAATAAAAGACCGTGACGACCCAGTGTCAAACATGAGCCGCGCGGGCTGGGTAATTGTGGCGCCGCCAATTGTGGCTACTGCTGTTTGCAGGATGACTGCATCCTGTTGTTGGCTGGGAGAGCTAGGAGCTGTGGCACATGTTGTGTTGGCTTTGATTGGTGGTTTCGATTGTTGTTGTTGGCCAGTTCCAAATTTGGAAGGGCAGAGACTGCGGTGGTGTGTCTTCTTGTGGCAATGTGCACAAGCCCAGGGGTTTGGATAAGCCGGAGCCATATGGCTGTCCCGGAAACAAATGAAGCACCGACCCTGGATTTGCTGGCGTCTGGTCTTAGTTCTGTACCGGTCACATTCATCTGTGTAATGGGCTTCCTTGCAAAAGAAGCATTTTGCGCGTTGTGGTTTCTTGACCGAAACTGCCAACGTCTGGACTGGCCGCATGTCGCCAGGGCTGGCATTCGTGGACCGCGGTACAGTCATGCTTGACTGTGCAGAACCGACTGATGTTGGTCGAGCTGCTGCTTCCTTTGCCATGATATAGTCATGTAAATGTTTGCGGAGGCGGTCGGCGGACCACGTCTCCTCACCTTTAGCTAATTGCAGTTGAAACATGGCAGGACTCGGCAGCTTTGACGTGATCAGAGACACAAAAATCCCTTGGTCACAGTCTTCGCCAATAGCACTGAGCGCCCGGATGTGTATTTCAACTGTGTCGTACAACTGGCGCAGTGATGTGGCCGTGTCATAGGCCGGTGGCAGATCGACCAGGGCTGAATAGTGGGCATTCAGCACCATTTGCTGCCTGCCGAACCGTTCTTTGAGTAATTCGACAGCAATTGGGTAGTGGTCGTTGTCGAGGACGATCCCATCGAGGACGTTGCGTGCCGTGCCCGACAAACATGTTTTGAGATACGCCAGTTTCTCCGCGTGGGATAAAGCCGGTTTGTCGTGTACCGTGGATTGAAATACATCCCAGAATTCGGAAAATTTGAGGACATCACCCCTGAAATTTGGTAATTCCAGTTTTGGAAATCGTACATGATGGGGATGCGTGGACTGTGATTCGGAACGCCCAGGAGCATTGTTGGTGAGTGTATGGATGGCATCCAATAGAGATTGTGTTGTTTTGTTTTGCAATTGACAAGGTTTTGAATACCATGCGGATCTTCCGCTGGCAATGGGGCTTGGACCATCGCCATTTGTTTATTGTGTCTGATTGCCACTTGTTTTAATTTTCTGATTTTTGAGACCGCTGATTCTACCAAGACTGTCATTCCATTGATTTCCAGTTTCAGTGATTCAACTTGGGCACGTTGTCCCTTGGTGGATGCGGGCATTTGAGCAACACCATTCGAAAATTGATTCAATTTGATTTCTAATCGTTCGACAATGCTTTCAAAGCTTACCAGGAAGTCTTCAACGTCATTCGGGGGCACGTGCCCGGCAATAAACCGGTCAGCATCGTGCTCCTCCTGTTGCAGATCTCGCACCAGGCATTGAATTGAGCTGCTTACAGAAGTCAGTTGCACCGGTAGGGTGACCGTATCCATTTTCGACGTATCACTGTTGGAGCCTGACTCTGCTTGTCCGGACCCTGACGTTCCTCCTTCCGTCGAGGCCATGGTTGATTAAACGGGGTTTCAGCACCAAATTTTCATGTCGTGACTCGCGACATCATAAAGATCCCGACTCAACGGACATGAAAGACATTTACGTTTCTTGATTTGGAAAGTTTGTTTCTTTCTCAAACAAGATCAAATTTCAACGGAAAAAGGCAGCTGCATCCACAGGCAACTGCGCACAAAGAACATGCATAAAATGGCGACCACGACCTTCATTTACGTGGCATGGTAACAAAAGGAACTAGTGCAGCGACAAAACAGAAATGGAGAAGAAGTGAACAGCAAGGAGAGCGAATCGCTAAAATGCACTAGCCTAGTGTCTGTACAGTCAAGTATGTAGTTAGTGAACACGCAGTCACGTGGTCACGTACACATACGTCACACCAAATACGTCATCATGGTCATGCATAACAAAAAGAAAGGAAAGTCACGCGTGAGCAAAACAAATCCAGAGCGCGAAAATACTCACGGGACGAAAACATAACGAAGGATTTGTTTGTGAACGAAATGCAAAGAATAGAGAAACGAAGGATTGCTTCGAAGCTACTTCGAAGTAGAATGAAATCAATCACTAGAAAGGACGATGGGGAACTAGACTTCGGCTAACCCAAGCGTGGAATCAGCCACAACGTAAGCAAGCAAGAGAGTACAAAATCATCGTCATGTAATGCAAATATAAATTGGTTATTCCGAATTCATGTACATGTATTTCATCGCGACGTTCGCGACAGCTGCCTTCATGGCAGAGCCAGCTCACTGTTCACATCCTACTACTCCCTCATTGCCACGGATGTAGACAGAAGTTGTGTCACGCGTGGTCAGTTCAGCCAGCTGCTCAGAGTGCCGTTCCTACCTGGTCCCTCAGCCTTAGCTCTATCGCCTTTGTTGGCAGTACCACATGGAACTCTCTCCCTGCTGATATTCGCGCTTGCGACGTACGCCACACGTTCCAAGCATTGCTGTCTGGCTATGACCTTATCTCCCTCCTCAACTAGCTCTCCGATGTTGTGCCTACTATGTCTTCTTCACAGATTCTGCCTGAACAGAAGCCCATCAATTATGTACTTGTCCTCTATCCTAGTCCAAATCCCAGTGGCGGGTTTGGGGGGGGGGGGGGGCGCGCCCCCCCCCCCCTCAAAAAGTTTGACCTTGGTTTCGAAAAATAATAGGCAGGGCGCCGGGTCGAGCTAGACTAGGCTCGGGGTGCGCGCGGCCTGAAACGATTGTCCTGTCCCCGGGGGAAATTGCGGAAAAAAATCGCAAAAAAACGCGGCATAATATGGCATAATTTGCGGTAAATATGCGGTGAATAATATTGATGCGCGGCAATTTTCAGTGAGTATGTAGTGAAATCAATCAGTTACAAGTCTCTGGTGTAAACACTCGTCATATTTGAGTAAAAAGCCGCCACGATGAGACGTTGCTGACCGAACAGTGCACTGTGTGTACGTTATATACAGAAGCCTTGCTTGGTAGTTTAACATGTTTTTCGATTTTGACAGCATGTTACAAGGCGAGGACGCGTAGTAACAAGAAAAAAGAAAAAGAACAAAAGAAAAAAGAAATATAAATTACGCCAAACTAAAGAAGGTGTGTGGTTCGACTAACATGGACATTTTTTTTACGGGCGGGCGGGCGGATTTTTTTTTTAAATATATTTTTTAGTACATGTAAATACACTATATACAGAAGCCTTGCTTGGTAGTTTAACATGTTTTTCGATTTTGACAGCATGTTACAAGGCGGGACTCTGCCAACCGGGTTATGGTTGTAGTCAGGAGCACTACGCGTCCTCGCCTTGTAACATGCTGTCAAAATCGAAAAACATGTAAATACACTGTACTGCCTTTAGACACCCAGTACATCGGCATTATTACGCAGTGTTATGCCATACATGTTGTATAAAGGGATCACTGGCTAATACTTTGAAACATTGTGTAGCTCTGGAACGAGAAGAGAATAACTTCAAGCGGTGACTCTGACTGTCCAAATCATCAAGCAAATGAAGAACGATGCGCGTTGAAAGTAAGTTCGGGAACTACTTCGAAGTACAAATTGTACAATGTACCGGTACATGTATTGCTAGTTTGGTGTCGGCGTGCACGAATACATGGGCTTTTTCCATCGACGCTTCCTGTGCGGCTTGCACACATGGAGCAGCAACTTACCGGTACAGGTGAAATATCGTTCCCAATACAGGAGGAAAGTGCAATCTCGTCTGTCCTTCATCCCAAAACAGAAGGCCGTCCTTAATCTGGAACGAGGCAATCACTCTCAACCGGACGGTCACTTCAAAATAAGTCTCGCCAGTCTGCCGGTGGTCGTATCGAGTAGACTCTACTACCAGCACAAGGCAGCAGTCGTACCACTCACTGCACTGCACTGCAGTACAACAACAAGTCAAGTCCAAAAGGAGCCGCCTGCGTCCGCAGACTCATGCTCACGCTGCACAGCACGTAGACGTGGACGTGTTCAGTCCACGTACGTCAGTCACACGACAGCCCGCCGAAAAAAAGTTACGGTCGGTCGGGTGAGTCGAACCACAGACCTTCTTCAGTGTGGCCTTACAAATATTTTAATTACAGAGGAAGACAAGAAAATAACATCACAAATCCTTCCAGACGTGATCCCTGCAGCGGCAGCAACGTGAACAATACTACGGCGGCAACACGACGACTTCTACAACACAAAAAACGAAAATTATAAAAATCCTACCAACCCGTAGAGTAACCCGTAGAGTAACGAGGGTCCGAACCTGGGTTTTCCCAATACGGTTCAAATGGTCGCAAGACCGGGACTCTGCCAACCGGGTTATGGTTGTAGTCAGGAGCACTACGCGTCCTCGCCTTGTAACATGCTGTCAAAATCGAAAAACTGTGTGTACGTGTAGTGCAACAAAAAAGTTCAAAAAACGCGGGAAAATCGCGGAAAACGCGGTCTTTTAAAAAATCGCAAAAAACACAGAAAAAAACGCGGCCGCGGAATCGCAATTTTCCCCGGGGACAGATTGTCCAAAAGCGGTTGCACGGTCGCGGTCGAGCTGGTGTTGATTGTACACACTACAGACTAGTACAGTTTTTTTTTACACCAGAAAAATAATAATATGTAGCGCAAAATAAAGAGAAGGAAAATAATAACCGGTCAAGCACTAAATACAAACAGAAGAAAAAGAAATCATAAGCCAATACGCGCTAAACTGCGCTTAAAATTATAATGAAAGGAGAAAAACTGGAATCCGCGGAAATTATAACATACAAAATGATACAGAGAAAAAGGAGAAAAACTGGGGGAAACAGACAGGTTGTCTACAGATGACACTCGGAGACAGCAAGTGTGGCAGAATATGCATGAGGGTCATGCCTGCTCGACTTGTGGCGATGCCCACGAAGGCATGCCACGGCCGCCTTCACGAGAGCAAAGGACAGCTGGGCTCTGATCAAAGCCATTGCCACAGAGAAAGGCTCACCATTCTTCTCAGACTTGATGCCTGCAATGCGGCCAAAGAGAGTGGAGGCTGCCTTCCCTTGGCCACCAGTCGTACTGAACACCACGGGGATGAAGGAAGCGTGCTCAACGTTGAGAATGCGACTCTCATAGCTCCTCCGTTTCTCCTCTTCATGCTTTCTGTAGCTGCCAGCGATCGTTGGTTTCCGATTTGAGGGGGCAAATGGGTTGAAAACCCGGACATCTAGAAAGGTCCTCTCAAACCGTCCACCGTGTAGACCGCTGACAACTACATCCAGCCGAGCTTGTTCTGCCGTGATGGTGGACCGCAGCGGAAAGCGCTCACCGGTCACAGGCTTGAGGTGCGGCTCAACATGAACATCATGTGCGATGTCGCGTAGCAATGCTGCTGTTAGGTCTCGGATCTCGTTGTGCCGTAACGAGGGATAGCCACCGATGGCACATGACATGGCATGGGTGGTCGAGAATGGCTTTCCACACGCGCATGTTGCAGGTAAGCGATCAGGATCCCATCCATACCTGAGGCATATGGCATCGCGGAAGGCGCCCTTGTGCAGGGTGAAGCCATGCCTTCTCAATGGCCGACATGTCAGCCAACTTGAGGCGCCTTTCTCCGAGGCAAGCTGTAGGGTGCGTTGCAGGTCTGGCTCGAGTTGGGCCATCAGGGTGACGACATGGTCATTCTCCTTCTTTCCAGCGGCTGTCCTAGCTGTTGCCTTCAGTACCCGCATCCGCCCTGATATGCCTTCCATGGATGACTGCTGTTGGATGATGTTGTCAATGAGTGGATGGGTGATGGACAGAGAGCGCTGATGTTCATCGTTCAGCAGACTGGGGTCAACAATACCGAGACCACCGAGACGACGCGGAAGGTCAAGCACAGCGCGGATCACCGAATTCGGTGGGTGACGCCCTGTCAATGCCGGAATGAAATCATTGCGGATCACATACTCAAGTGGCTGTAGCAGATCTGCTGCTCCTGGTACAGTACGAACCAGAAATGGCCATTTGTGCTTGAGGCCTTGGCTAAATGCAGTGTAGGCGGCTTGCGTTTGGCTAAGTGCATAGGTTGCGAGGCGCTTGACTTCTTTGCACCATTGCTCTGCCTTTCGAGCGACGTACTGATTGCAATACTGCTCTGTGCCCAGGACAGCTCCAAGATGTTGGTGACCGTCCGCGGTTACGCGAACTTCAGTGTCGGCGAACACTTCCCGCGCGATGTTGAGGAACTGTGGTTTGACGAGTAACACAGACTTTGCAGCATTCGTATAGTAGCCGTAAGCTGGACCACGCGTTTCCAGGATAGACCACCATTCTCTGAGACGAATTATCTTACTTGCAGCTGTAGAATCATCAGCGTACCACGCTTGTACGGCGTTGGCTGCAGCGGCTTCGCGGATTAATGGCAACGTCCCTAGAGCATACATCACCATGGCGAGGGGATCCCCCTGCGTTGTGCCCTCAGCAGACTGAAGGGTCTCCCCGTCGACGAACAGCTTTGCGGGCTGTCGGTACGTGTTGGTAAGGACTACGGC